CTAACAAAGGGCTAGATCCAAATCCCAAACTAAGGCTCTAGAAGAGACCAGTTAAGAACCAAATAATTAATGAGAATTTCTCCAAGCCTTTCATTCACCTCTTGCTGCTGATGAGTGAGTAAATTGGGTGCTCTTTACTATCAATGGCTGGATATCACAGACTAGTGGTAGAAGTAAATTTGACTTACAAACATTCTCATAGCTGAGCTTTACAATCCCAAATATATTACATTTTCCAGATGATTTTGCAAAACTTCAAATTCTTTCAGAAAACAGATGTCCTGTTTGTCTAACATCTCTCAGTGCCAGGAAGAGGTTACAGAGCAATCATATATCAGATACAGGACATCTGCTGACCCTATTTGCTTGCCCATTGATAAATGTATCATAGCACAGATAGAACTCAGTGTCTCTACAAAGGCCCAAGTTAAATCTTGTCTCAAGCATTCTTGCCCTCAATACAGTAACTACTGTCATTTCCAATCACCTGTTGGCTCAACTGTCAGGTTTTAATCCCCCTCTGTAATTTTAAAGCTTTTTTCTCCAGTGTACAGCACCTGACATTATATGAATCATACAGATGAAAGACAAAGGTATCTGGCTGATATTAAATGCTGTCACTCAGCTGGGGCTGGGTGGATGCCAACTGGTCAAATTCTGCAAAATCTTTGAACAGATGCTGTGGCTATTCCAGCTTTATTTCAATTTCACACTCTTCCTATCTACCCTGACAGCTGGTTTTGACAGTCTGCTCTCTTCTTCTCAGCTCTCATGTCAATCTCAGATGCATAATAGCTGGATTAGAGCTTAAACAATAGTGATTAGATCAGGTAGAAGAGGAAACATGGTGGCAATAAAAAATAAGATACTTCAGTAACCCTCCAAACTCTAGCCACTTCAGCTGAAAGCAAATTTCCTTGCTGGAACTCATCCAGCAAGCAAAAAGTTATTCAGAAGAAAAGAGTATGAATTTTACCAAAGCTTGGGGATATCTTGTTGGTTTCATGAGGTTTTTTAAAATCACATTAATATTAATTTCCATGAAAGAGTTTCACTGAACAATTCTATCTTCACAGTCTCAGTATTTAGAAGGGTCAACAGGTTACAGTTACATCACCTTACCCTTGGCAGTCCTCTGTGAAAAGGCCCTGCACCCTACAAGTCATTTGATGCAATTTAGCCCTCATTAAAATAATGAAGGCCCTTGCCTTTGTAAATCATTTTAACACAGGTTAAATATCAAATAAATAATCAGAAGAAAGATTTGTGGATTAGACCCCATCACATTCAAGCATGCCAGGGAGTGCTGTATGCTGTCAACAGCAAAACCCAGCCCCACACAAACACTGCTCTCCTCCAAAGCAGGGACAGGGGTAATATCGGAAATGCATTTTTGCCATCTGTTAAATAATTCACACAAACAAGAACTGAAGACTTTTTTTTCCAGAAATGCTGGCTGTATATTTAAAAAGGTAGCCTCTACAATCCTCACATCCATAATTAAGTTTGTGGGTAGACTGAAGAAAAGGACTCCATTTGCAGAAAAGCTCAACAGATGGGATTGTGTATTAAAGTAGAAGCATGTGAAAACTATTTGAACAAATGGCAGATGTGTCTGTCAACCTTCTCCTGTGCCATTACAGACTGGCATTTAAGCTATTATTCAGACTCCCAGAATTTCACAAAATTTAGGATGGACAAGAGCCATCCAGGCTAACAGGGAGGGGTTGCTGCACTGCTGGGGACAGGAGTCACAGCTCCATGCAACACAAAATTGATGAAAGGAGTCACAGCTCCATGCAACACAAATGGACATGAAAAGCAACTGCAGCCCATGGAACATCCAAAGGGAAAAAAACCCCACACAAGTGTCCTCCTTTCACCCCCAGACCTGGAGTATTTTGGGAGTATACCGGTACACCAACTGCTCTTGCTCTAACCCTCTGCAAAAGTAAATCCCTTTAATCAAAGGCAGTGTAGAATGAATGGATTCCTCAACTTCACAAGCAGAGAGCCCTTCTCACTGATAATGTGTTCTGCATCCTCTGAACTATTGGCAGACAATTGCTGCAAGTTTCTCCTACTTAACCGCATCTTCCCACTTTCACGTACTCGTTGGAGATTAAATTCTAAACTTGAAGAACTAATTTCTTTAATGCAGCTTTTCCTCTTCAATTTCGCATACAATACTTCTTTTCTGCTATCATCTCCTGCTACTTTAGGGAAAAATGTTCAAGCCTGTGGCTAAGTGGGCTGTTTTTCTAAAGAGTTAATTCTGCACAGATTCCTGCTTTCTCAGCAGGTTTCAAAGAAAATGAGTGCACAAATGTGCCTGTAAATATAGATTAAAACATGGACATCGCATTCTTATCTTAAAATGGAGTATATGGAGTTCCCAATTTTGCTTGCATTGCATAGACTGTATCACTGAATAAGAGAAAACCTTTTGTTTCTCTAATAACTTAAGTTAGTCACAAAGGAAGAAACAGGTAAATGCACCAACCCAAAGATCACACACAGCAAAATTAGTTTGCATTGACTTAAAAGGGTTTGGATTGTTTACACTAAAGCAAGTCTGTAAGTGAACACACAGGATCAATTCACAGCTCTAAATGAAGATCCAAAACTAACCAGGAATGCAGCAATTTCAGAAACAAACTACAGTACTTTCAGCTCTGCTGTTGTGCTTTGGGGTTTGGTTTTGTTTGATTGTAAACAGAGCAGACAAAATGCTGGGAAATGCCTGAGAACACCTTCAACTTCACCGTGTTCCTGCAGCTCCAGCTGGTCAGCAGCAGTGCTGTGCACTGAACAGGCTGGCATCAGAGATGGCACAACATTAACTACTATTAATGAGATAATTGCTCAAGTACAGAAAGTAATTTTATACAGTACATTCTCAAAACAATTTCTTTTGTAACTGACCTTAAAACTTTTTGCTTTATTTGGGATGATATCAGGGCTTAAGATCAAATTACACAAGCATGAAATATTGATTGCTAACTAGGAGCAATGGAAGTGTTTCCAGGAATGCATGTGGCATGGCTGATAGAAGTTACTAGACCTTGCTGTTTATCTCTGTTTACATTTTGACATCTTTTTTCTTAGAAGAAATGGCTTAACTTGGTAGTATGGCCAAAAAAGCCACATCAGGGCAAAGCATAAATTGTATCTTAAAAAAGGTTATCTTCTTTGTCTGCACTAAACATGTGCCTTTCTCCCTGAAGATCAAGTGCTGAATGACACTGAAACAGTGCAAATACAGCATAGACAGAGCTGTTCCTAGCCAAAGAATTAAAAAGGCAGCTGAGAATTAAATCCTTTCTCCACCAAATCAAATAATCAAATCAATTCTGTACTGAGGGTCGTCATTGACAGGTTCATGTTACATCATCTGACAGCCCTGAACAGAGTTGATAGGAACACCAGCAGAAAAGGAGCCTCTGACAAACAGTGAAGTGCCAACACACAGTTCTGAGTGAAATCTGCACTGCCAGTGTTGGGTGGGCTTGAGGATTTTTTGGACAGAAATTCTGGTCCTAGTTGTTATCAATCTTCCTTTCATTTGTGTTAAACTCACTCCAACAAAAGAATCCAACAAACAAAAAAATCTTCTTGCCTCCTACTGATGAAAATCTCAAGCAAGCTGTTCAGGTGAAATTTAATCTTTGAAAAAAATATTTACATTCCCATTTCTAAAACACATTACATTAAGAAAATCAGAGTGAAGAATCCATGCCTCTAACTCTTTCATAGGAATGAAATCCTATCCAACTATTTGTGACATGACTTATCTGCTCAAACAGAACTTAAATTGCTATCACCTTTATACCTGTGCAACATGCCACGGTGATGTACTGCACACTGACAAAGTTTGGTTTTGATGCTGTTTTTTATACTAAAACCCACATTACACTGGTTACTGACCCAGTGAAAAGCGTGATTGATTTCCTACTCAGCTTTGCCTTTAAAGAGACAAAGTCCCAGCAAATGGCTGTCTTTGTAAGGTGTCCCACTATGTGAAAATCAGTGCCTACCCCTTAATTGCTGACAGATGGCCAAACTCTAACTACAAGCTATTAGGCAAGCAGCATAAATGCACCAGAGAGCTGGCATGATTAAATGCAAATTCAACATATATTCTGATGAAGTTAAAACTTTTAAGAGGAAACATTTTGAGTGACTGAATTCTTATCTTCCTGTTCTTGAATCTTCTGTATTTAATCAGCCCTTGACACATAGTTTTAAGACTTTCTGCTATATGACATAATATCCATCAGGCTGCTTTAGCTGTTTTCATCTTTTGACACCATATCCTGCAGATTGTCTGCATGGATGTAGACAGAAAACACAAGTCTGACATCAAGAAAAACTGTTTGCAGTAGAACAGATTTTGCTGATGATGTGAACAGAACTCAGCTCATATCCAAGATCTACCTGACTACTTGAGGAGGTTAAAAAAAAAAAGAAAAACAATGAGATATTTCAACCAAAATAGAATCATGCAATTACATTTTTATATGGTCATTACATTCATGTTCTACTAAACCTCAATTCAAAGTGTCACATCAGAATTTACTGTCCCTTATCTCATTTACCTCTCAACAGAAGAATACCTTAAAGTCACCACAGAACAGCAAACAATCAGACAGACCCAGTCTCATGCAGCTAAATGTAAGAAACAGAGTAAGGCCTAGAGCTGATGCACTTCACAGAACTGGATTATTTCGCTCTAGTTTTTCACTATATCATGCAGTCCTTTCACATAGAAAAATAATGGTGTTGTATGGGCATCTTTCAAGTAGCATTTGATTATTTTAATAAAGCCTTCTCAAGACATGCAGACCTGCTTCCTGTCTCCCTTCATAAAAGGTGTTATTCTGCCAGGTGGTTTATCCAGACTCCTTCAAGTTTTAATTATCTCTTTACTTAATGAGTACAGTGGCTGATCTAGATTTATTGCAGTAGCTAGAAGCTTGTGTGAATAAAATATCAGTTCTGTTTGTGATGTGGCAGTTATCTTTGTTTGCAGACTCTTCTAATTACTTCCAGGTCATTAAGCCCATCTCCAGCAGTTATTTTCCTGTCATTAGAAAAAGTGTTATAATGACACTAAAAAAGTCAATGAGTACAGGGAAAAAAAAGTCAGAAAAGGTCAAAATAAAGCTTTAACCTGTTAATTCAAATCTGGATTATTGGCACAGAAGTCATGCAGATAACTCAACACATATCCTGTGAGACACCATAGCAATCAATAGGTTACACCGGGCATGTGTCAGGGCAGAATTGCAGCTTACAAGATATCACATTAAGACATTTGTTTTATAGTGAGGTTAAATTATAAGAATAGGTTAAATTTCTCATTAGTTTAAACACTGACTTCCCAATACACAACATGTGGAGAAAAGGATATACTCAAAAATACATATTCAAAAATACATATTCATATACATCCAAATGTGTGTCAGAACTGACACTGAATAAATTAGCAAAGCTCCCTCTACTTGACCAATGGCATCACTGGACCAGGTATAATTTTTTTTTCCATTTCACTCCTGAGCATTTTTTAGAGGCAGAAATTCAAACACAGGCATTTACCATGTCTGTCTCTTCCAGAGACTCCATTTGCTGAGGCAGAAACCCTGGCTATAATTGCTTGATCCACTTGTTCACTGAAAGAAAATTTCCTTTTTATCTGCATAGTCTCAAATACCTCTTGCAAAAATGTGAGATTATTAAGTCTTAGGAACGCAAGGATTTCAAATGAGAAAAGGATAACCCTGGAAAACGAGAGAAATGGAACTACTATAGCCTAGCAGTTTTGTTTTGTGTGTATTGGTTAAAATTATCAGAAAGTGCTGGTTACAAAAGCTGCAATAAATGCAGAAAAATCTTCAACAAAGTCAGTATTGGAACTCAACAACACTGCAAATTCTGCATTCCTAACCCTAACTAAATTAAGCAGTGTTGCTGTCTGTCCTATAAAACAGTATCTCCATCCCTAATGCTGATTCCAATACACCTAACTGGGTTCTAAATTGGAAATTGTCCAAGACCTTGAAAAGCCTGATTTACGGTACTGACTTTATTTGAACTGGAGCACCATTTGCACCAACTCCACTTTAAGTGTGTCTCCAAGAGTGACATCCACTATTTAGCAACTTGCATTAACCTCTGCAAGGCAGGCTGGGCACTCTGTTCAGTGGCAGGAAAACAAGCACATCCATCACTGAAACCATCTGCACAGCAACTGGCTGTCCCCAAGATCTTCTTTAGGTGCTCAGAAAGAGGATGAAGGATTAAAGAAATTCTTCCTGCCAGCTGCTTCCAAAAAAAACCCCAACAAAATCACCAAAAAACTCAATCCTGGAGTGGGAGAGGACACAAGCATATTTACAGTGTTTTACTTCAAGCCATTATTTATATGCTGAAGGGGAAGGACCAGCTGCATATCAAAGAATGCTGCTCAAGTGCTCTAGAAAAGCACTAATTTTACAAGGCTCCAAAATCTTCAGTCTCCTAACCTGAGCATCTAAATTAGACTCCTACTTCAAACCCTTGCTGTCACACTTACATACAACCCTCACTCAGTGTGCTGGCACATATCTCCACGACATTCCACCACCAGGAGCAATCATTTTACACCAGCAGGCAAAAAAAAAAAAAAAACCCAACAAACAAACCAGAAGAATTAGGCAACCAAGAAGCTGTCTAAGCTGTCTACCCACACGGTCATGAAGAAATCAGACAATTTTTGAGACTGACAAAAAAATGCAGTTCAAAAAGTCACTTGGCTCAGAGATTTGTGATCCTTAATAAGCACACCATTCCATATTGTGACTAGAAGTGTTACACATTAAACAAATGATTGTTATTAAAAATACACAGAATCCTGGAGAAAAGGCTCATATAAAACAACTTTACAAGATCAAATTAACTCTTTACTGTTAGCAAACAGCTCTGATAATTGAAGTGACTATTTAGACTACAACTATAAATTATTATTACATCATATTTAGATAATGCTTGCATGAAAAATCCATTTGAATTAAGTCTTGTGGATAATGGTATCCAATGTAAGGTATGTAACAAAGCTGTCCAGAGGAAACACTGAGAAAAGGATTTCAACCACTCTGTGTTTCCATTTCAATTAAAGTTCTTTTGTCCCCATAAAAACTGAGAACTATAAATAACTGATTGGAATCAGTGTTTCAAATCCCTTCCTCTTGTATCCTACAGATATCTCATCATTTGCACATCATCAGTTCCCCAGCCTTCAGCAATGCTGAACAGGACACAGCTCACACAACTGATCTGAGATGCAGCACAGGAACTTGGGCCAGTCAATTTTGTCTGATGACTTCAGTAAGTCCACCTCTGTTCTTCTCACACACCAGCTCCCCTAAAGGTCCATGAATCAATGACTTCTCCTTTTAGAGATATTTCAGGGAAACTAGGCAACTGCCAAGGATGTTCCAAATGATGTGTTGTTCTTTTTCCTCTTTGGAAAACTGGTTAGATACAAAATACACAATCATAATGGTTCAGAAATGTTATTTTCTAGGTTTTGTGTTGTTTTCTCTTTTTGATTGCTAGCATGTTCATATACATATCACACACAATTCACACCAACACATGACTGTATAATCAAGATCTGTAGAACAGATTTTATGCTGAATAACACATTTGGGATACTATTCCAGACAAGGAGAAGCCAAATCTGGGTTTGTACTTACAGTTAAGATTAGGGTCACATGCAGTGAAAGTTTTGGTTAGAGTGCAGCTGTAGTAAAACTCTTCCAGAGTTCTGCATGATGAAGTTTCCCATTTCCACCCAAGCTGAGTTAAAATGACCCAGAAATGCATTGTCTATGGAGACATACTGCTTAAACATACAAAATGTTCAATCAGACAAATTACTGAATCTCATGGTTTTACTTTTCTTGCACACAGTGTATTAGGCTGCCTTTTACAATATTTAATTTAACAATTCTATCAATTATCCTGAGCAAATATGCAAATACTACCACAGCTGCCTCATGCAGTTTTTTCTGACTTAGCATTCATTAAAAACTCTGGTAGACTGTGTAGCACATTAAATTCCTTTCACAAACATAGCAATTGTATTACCTAAGAAAAGTGTTTCTTTATAATTAAAACATTTGCTCTTATTTGGCATTTTTCCTTCTGTAAATTGAATTCAGAAGCTGGAAAAGGCTCCCCTGCAGTATGAGCATCTCAGGGTAGAAGCACACAGGGTTGGGCTGAGGTTTATTCCCCCTGTGAATGAGAAAGCTCTAATTAGCCATCAACAGAACTGGATCTTTCATCTCCTCCATGCAAGAAATAACAGTCTTGTAAAAGCCATTACCAGGAGATATGGTTGGAATAAAGGCCCGTGATACACAGCTAGACTGGATAGCTGCACACTAAATGAGAACGCTGTAGTGGCACAGTTTTAAAAGGGCAAAGCTTTTGGAAGAAATTCAGGCTCCCTTGTCAGTGTGGCTCCTCCCAACACTGCTCCACTGTGCCCATGCCACAGCACATCTAAAACAATCCATGCTTAGGACTGATCTGAATTGTACTCAGCCACACTGCAACGCCCTTCCATCTGCATTTGATAAGCGCTATCTGATGAATTCATGCATTATTTCACCCTCTCTGAACCCAATATAAGTAAGCACTAGTGTATCTACATGGAAACAGACCTCTCCTAAGCATCCTTACACAGGATTTCTGTGTCCGTCCTGTGGACTCCTTGCTACAGCATCCCTACAAATCTGATCTCCCAAGAGAAGAGCTCTAAAACAGGTGACTCCAGATCTACCTTCAGCTGAAAACTCAACACTGAATTTGCACATGCAGGATGAACTGCTGGCCAGATCTGAGTTTTGAGGCATATAGTTGAGATACTTGGAAATACAAGTTTAAGAATAACCTTCCTTTTCCAAAAGACCAAATTCCACTCCTGGAGATGGCATATTGAAATAAATCTGCAACCAATTTACTCCTGGTACAGTCTAATACAGAACATATAGAACACAGCAGAATTTATAGACACAATGACACTTTGGACTAATCAGGAGACAAAATGCTGGAAAATTCCAAAAAAATGATTCAAGTCAAACCAACTTACTAAGACACATCACCTTCTGTTGGTGTGCCGCAGGGGTGTTTTTCTTTCCAATACACGTTAATGATATTTTTCTTTTTTCTCAAGGTATATCTGTACCTGGGTAAGAGTTTTTCCTTTTAAGAAAAAGTGTGAAAACATTATAAGTGCATATCACTTTTCTAAGGAGTTTTTAATAGATCTGCACTTTTCACAGGACTACTCGTCCCCTATTTATACAGTGGAACCACTGGCAAGTGATTAAAATGTAATTTTATCCTGACAGTGTTAACTGGAGTACCTTCAAAAGAAAATCTTTGTCCATAGGAAAAAAAAAATACTGTTTGACTTCTTCAAAACAGCTTACTAGCAGACCATGTTTATAAATAAACATTTATCAAGACACAATTAAAGATACTATATTAAGAAATGGATCTTATATGCATAAACAGAATTTCTACTGTTAAAAATTAAAAAAAAAATTAAAGCAAAAATGAATTAAGGCATACTTCTCTTTTTTTCCTTCTTTTTATAACTCATAGCTGGAAGCTAAAATAAAAGTACAAACCACTACAAGCATGAAATCATATATTGAAACTGCATCCTGAGCACCCTAAAGCCTTTGCTGGGCTATATTTGATACATGACATGTTGTCAAAAGCACTTCCTGTTCTTATCACAATAGCTTTGTAGCTATTTAGGGAATTTAGCCACTCGAGCAAGTCTTTGCACATAAATAAAGAGTGGGAGCATGAAAGAGAAGGCATTTTTGAGGCTTTTAAAAGAGATAAGAGATTAAACAGAAAACATTTCTCCAGTTTATGGGTTCTCTGGACTGAAAAGTAGTCTTACATCTTGCTTTATAGGCCAGTATTTGTGTTTGTCAAATTAAAAGGTAACAGTAAGATCTAAAATCCTTTATTTTTCGAAAATGGTCTGAAAAAGTGCACTACTGACTTCTGTCTCCTTCAGACATTAAAATCACCTGAAACCAGTGGAACAGAAATATTGACAACACTGGACTTTGGATTACAACTTACAAGAAGCTTCCTTTAGCTGTTATATGATACAATTTTGGGCCACTGATACTTCTCACAATCTTCCTTCTTTTATGTTTCGTTACTATCAAGTCTCTACAGCAATAACAAAAATATTCAAACGTAATCAGGGATCTCGTTGCTAAAATTGTAAAATTACCTGATTTTCCCCTTGTTCAAGGTCATTCTTGTGTACAAGGAAAGAGCATTTAGGCACAACAGCCAAGATGTGTGGTGCCCTCTTTAAACTTCAGTTCCTTGCAGGTACACTCTCAAAGGTGCCAGCCAGCTTGCAGTGTTATCAGATTGCATATGCATGCCAAAGAATTCACTTAATTAAGGCATTAATGGAGGTTTTTTTAATCATTACTAATACAGTGGGTGATATATTAGCATTTGCATGTGTAAATAAATTCAGTTAATGTGTTAATTGCACAGACACACGAAAATTAGTTTAATCAAGTCAATTAAATCATAAACAGTTCAGAAATAAGAAAGTAAGCTTGTAATGTAATTAGTGTTCTAACATGCTAGTAACTTTAATAAACAGGATCTTAATTATATGGCAGGTCAAAGCGACAAAATATTTTAATTGATATAAAAAGGAGCTTTTTGTTGTTACACTCGAGTCTAGCTGAGTTTAGAGAAAATGATCCATGCTAATGAGATCAAATGCTGTTATCTAGAACAAAAATAAGGATTTTTTAATAGAAATTTATCTCCAAAGTAGTTCAGATGATGGAACGAAGCATTGCTGACTGCAAGAAACTAATCATGCCATAATCTACACGTGACTGAATTATACATTCATACAGTGCTCTCCCCAAAGCTTTCCAGAATAATAAAACAGAATAAAATATTTGCTAATATTTCAATATTAATCACCATAAATTAATGTTATATTAATACAGCAAACAGCACTGCTGCTCAGTGAGCTGTGCGTAATGCTGAGTCGTGAAAAAGGCCATCCCTCTCATTATGGTGTGCCTGGGTGTTAATTAGTGGGGCAGGGGCTCTGTGAGCAGCACAGCCGAGGGCAGGGAGCTCCAGCCCCACTCAGGGGTGCTCAGCTGGAAGGGCTCAGAGCAGGGCTGGCAGTGGGACCAGGGAACCCAAGCCCTGCTCAGCCTCACGCAGTTTGAGGAGCTGAGTTATCTGTCTCTGTTATCTGCTGGTGACAGGCACTTGGGGACAGGTTCCACAGGTGCCACATCCAGGAGGAGATGGAGCAGAGATGTCTCTGGGGGGACTTGGCCTGGCCACCAGGTCATGTCCCACAAGGGACAGGATATCAGCATTGGAACACTGTTGAAGTGAAGGGAGACGACCATCCGATTGATGAACATCAACTCCAGTTTATTGATCAAATCAGACACCTTTTATAACAGTGTTAATTCACTTCATGCATATTGCAAAACCTGAGCTCCCGATAGGCTGTAGAGAAAACTTCAGCTCCTCCTTTTGTTTACAATACCTGAAGTTAGTTTATTGAAGCCAAGATCAGCGTTCTCACCATGATATGAAAAGTTCACAAAACCTTTATATCTGTTCCCAGAACGGCCATCTGTTCCCAGAGCAGCCAAGGACAGGATATCTGCCTGTTTTTGAGAGAACGGTCTGAGAATCTTGTTTATATAAAAGGTGGCTGAGAACCTTAATTATTTACAGAATCAAGCCTGGGAAAGGCTGCTTTTTCCCTTAGCTGAGTACCTTCATGGCCTCTTTCTTTAAGCCATGCTTGAACCAGGCTCTCCACAGGACAGGATATAAGCATTGGAACACCAAGAACACTGAACCCTCCAGAGATGTGGAAGAGGCTTGACAGCAACTTCTGTAAGCCAGAGAGAAGTTTGATATGAGGATCCATGTTTACCCCTGAAAGAATTTTCTACCAAGGTCATTGACATAGAAACCAAGAAAGAAAGAAGGATAAATTAGACAAACCTGCAACTGCCTGTTCCAATGAGCACTTTGTCTTTTGTGACCGATGAGTAAAGTGTAAACTTAAGAGTTTCGTAAAAATGTATAAAAGCATAATAAAAACAGGTTTGAAGCCTTCTGTAAATGAAGTGTGTTGCTTTGTATTGTGACCACCTCAACTACAACAGAGACACACTCGGCAGCTGATGGCAGAAGGTCCCTGCCAATGGCCAGCAGTGGGACAACAACTGGGCCAGTGCTGTCCCGTCAGCAGGCAGACCTTGGGGGAGCCAGGGCCATGAAAAAAACACCTGCACCACAAAACAGGGCTTCTCTAACCTGTTTTTTTGAGTGTGGGCTTTTGGTTTGGGACTTTTTGTGGGTTTTTGGAGCTTTTGCTTTTGTCTTTTTGGGCGCTTTTTGACGCTCATGCATTTTGCCCTGGCCCAGTCCCCATTCTGCCTTTTGGCTCTCCTGCCCTCACTGGCTCTTGCTTGTCCTGCTGTCTGTGTCCCTGACCATGCCTGTGTCCAGCCAGCCCATGGTGTGATCCTGCTGCCCAGCCCTGCCTGGGGACACATCCAGCACTGCCTGAGCTCCCTGCAGTGCCCTTTTCCCTCTGGCTCCTCTCTCTTCCCTCATTCCTTCCCCACCTTTCTTCCCCTTGTTCTGTCTTTTCCAGCTTTCGTTAGCAACTCCTTTCTATTTTGTTTCAGTTTTTTTCATTACCAATAAATGGTTCTCAGATACAATGTTTGTCTCCTGTTATAAATGATAAATGCAGTTATTGGCTTTCACGTTTATGTATTGGCTTTTGCAAGTTATTATTGGTCACAAAGATTCTGATATAGTACAATTTATAATTCTTTTTAACTGCATTTTGGTATAGTATAATCTGTCAGCTTAAATACACACAGAATAACTTAGAGAAATAGTAATGTGATCAATACATATTGTATTTTAGGCCTTAGAATAATGTTAAAAAAGAAACTATGTGATGTTAAAATGCTTTTATTTTTTAATGCTTTTTATTTGTGCAACTAAATCATAATGATGTGAAATAACCATACTGTTTCTTACATGTGTGGACTACATTATCTGAATTATAACAATGACAAAAACCAAAACACCAAGAGAAAAATTTACTGCCAAATCTTCAGTTACCAGGTAATATCAAAACAAAAGAATGAAGGCTTGAGAAAAAAATC